CCATCCATTTGAATCGAATCTTTTTTCAGATCAGTAGCTGAAGGTGGGATTAAACGTAAATGGGGTAAAGAATTAACACCAAATAGCCCAAATGAAGCTTGCGAGTCCCCAAATTCGATAGTAAAATAGAAGATCTTGTTGTTTCCTGGGTTATTAGCGAGGAAAGAGGAGGATAAAAGGGAGAACTCATTTTTTAGAGTAGGGAGTGAAAGTTCGGGTTTTGAATGGAGTTGTTTAGCGTCAAAGAAGATGAGAAATGAAAAGGGTCGTGGGGATTTAGCTGAGAGGATTCGACGGAGAAGATGATCAGAGAGATGGATAACTCCGGTGGGAGTTTGAGATCGGAGATTGATTAGCTCCGGGAGAAGGTCCTCATCGGATGAAGAGGAAAATGAGTGGTTGAGGGGTACGAGGACTAGGAGAATGGCGATGAGGATTAGGGTTTTGGAGATCGCCATTGTAGCCTGCGAAGATTGAGGAGATTTGGTTGCAGAGGAAAAAGGGATTTTTTGTGTAAGAAGGGAGAAGACGCGCGTCCACTGATGGACTTCGGGTCGGGTCGGGTCGGATCTATATCTGACTAGGATGGTTTGTGGTGTCAGAGTAACCAATAGATTCATGACACGTAAGAAGGGTGTGGCGCTGAATCCATCAAAGGAAGGGAAAAGCCTATATCAATAGATCTTACGTAGCACAAATTTGAATTAGATGGGTCAATAGTGACAAATACTACATAGTCAATTTCGTAAAAGTATCAAAAGTGGTAATAAAATTTAAATATATATATTTTTATATGGATCAAAATTCGTGTTTGTTATTTTGACGTATCAAAAGGGACCATATGATAGTCAAAGTCTAATTTGATTCGATTCAGCGAGAAGAACATCATGCATAGCCTTGGGTCATACCCAACAAGGTTTTTTTTGTCCTTTGGAGATTCGAAACAATGTTGTAGGCTCGTCTAGCTCCAAAATGGCGAGGTCGGGAGCATGTATGCGGCTAAATGCTAATCATAATATGTTTTTTTTTGTATTCGTACAATCATTATATAACATTATGAATATATTATTTGATCATTATAATTTGTATGCTCTTAAACTTCAATTCAGATATAAATTGTTATTCTAAGTCACTGATTTAGTGGTAAACAATCTTAAAAGTATCCATTATGTGCAAATCACCTAATCTAATCTATAGTAATCGGCCTAACAACTTGAGCCGCGTAGCTAAAAATAAATATAATCGTTAATCAAATATACAAAAATATTGACTAATTATATACAAAATATGTATATATTTATATACAAAAATATACAATTTCTGATTATTATTATTTCTGGTGGTACCTACTTAAGTTAACTCAATTTCTGAATTGTTAAGAGTTATCCACCAAAGGCTAAGAAGCCCAATTCAGATGTAGAGATCACAAAAGCTAACAAAGCCCAAATGATCAATATAATGGATGAAGTAGAATTGATCGTCATTTCACGTAAATCAGAACAGAGGCAAATTGAAGATTTAAAAGTTTCAAGTGCCATGCAAGATTTAAAAGTTTCGAGTGCCATGTTGGTTTGAAAAATAACGCATGCAACATTTTGCATAAGTTGTGTCAATATTCACAGGGGAAAAGTAATATACAATGTTATAACGGAGACATCTAGGTGGTGTCCTGAAACTTAAAAAAAAAAGATACAAAAAAATTGACAGCTGTGGGATTTGAACCCACGCCCTTTCGGACCAGAGCCTAAATCTGGCGCCTTAGACCACTCGGCCAAACTGTCACATGTTTATATATTTTATTCTTATTAGAATAGTACTAATTAACTCCAAGCTCCAAAAAACTCCAAATTAATCCACTACAGTTTTAGCGCAAACACACTTTTTTTATTTGGTTTCTTATTTAGTGTCTGATATTTATATTGATGCTCGATAAATTCAGATTTGCATATTGCAGTAGATCATTTATAGAGTCGACACTCCCAACAAATTCTTTTCTACTTCTAAAAATCCAAACACAAAATATTTAATTATGAATTAAAGGATCTCAACAATACGCAAGTCAAATAACAAAGTTGAAAACAAAAAAAGTCAAAGTAACAAAATAAAGTAATAACTCAACTTAATTCACATAACTTGCCAATTCTTTAGTTAATAACACTAACTTATTATAATCAAAATAATATAAAAGTGGCTAAGCAATTTACATCTAAGAAATAGTATGTGCATATGTTTTCCCAGACAATGCTTTACTGTCTCAAAGCTGTCCTCACATGGGGCACTTGCCTGTGAATGATTCATTGTGATGTATTTACCCTGTGTGTCAGCAGCAGCGGAATTAAGATTTTATAAAAAGAAAATTAAAAAAGTTAAGCATCTATCATATATATATACATCAAAATTAATATTAACTTTATATATAGTATAATTTTCTATAAAAAGAGGTTCGAGTAACATTACTTTATGATGATCAAGTAATAAAATCTAGAGAAAAATATACACTAATCAATCACGATTTTAATGAAAATGTGTACACAAAAACAACACGAGTTGATATCAGGTACATAAATACTGATTCATCTGAACTTATTAACTTTAAACTCAAATCTTATTAATGTGTTAAAAAATTATTTTCAATCCAACACATTAAATACATTACAATAAAATTTCAAACATAAATTCATAAAATTTAAATTTTGAATTAATGGAAAACACACGTTATTAATTATTATACATAGAGTAAATGGACGCATGAGCATGTCGGTCATCGTTATTCCTAGCAAACCGCACCTCTTAGCTCTTCTCCCCAAAAATTATAATTTCTCTGCTTTTAATAATAAATAAAAGAGTTAAAAAAAAAAGTAAGTTTGTTCTGTAATTATAGAGATCCAAAGTAATAAAGTCAAATGATTAATATAAAGAATCCCCCTTAATTTATCTTACTGTCCCAATAACTTGTTCCCTTTGTTTTCTTTTGCCTTATTTTAAAAAATTAAATAAATTGTGGGGTCAAATATTGTGTTTTTGGCTTTCCACTAGTGACTTTGCTTACAATACTTTCTTTGTTTGGGGCAAATGAATTAAGAAACTTCATATAGTTAGAGTTTAGTTTGACATTGATAGTCTGTTTAGCTAAACTTTTTAAAAAATAAAAGTATAATTATTTTATTTAAAAAATATTTTTTAAAGTTGAGTTGTTTGACCAAGCTTTTAGAGAAAATATGAGTGTTTTTGAGTCATGGTAGAAACTGATTTTCTTTTTAGAAATTAAAAGAAATAGCTTTTTTCCCGAACCAGTTTTAGAACACTGCATGGGCCCAATTGGAGGTGGCGTTCCCAACATGATTTTCTCTATATCCAAAGCTCGAACTCGAGACTTCTGATTAAAGGTGAAACACTCTCACCAATACACCACAACCCATGTTGGTTATTATTTTAATATAATCAAAAGTATTCTTTTCAAATTGATTAACTAAACACAAAATGTTGTTTACCAGAAGTACTTTTTTTTAAAACACTTCTAACAAGAAACACTTTTCAAAATTAGGAAAGATTTTAAGCACACATTACTAGACTTCCACTAAACACCTATCGTACTGATAAATGACTCATTTTGCTATGACTTTCTCTTGAATTCTCGAAAACCTTAATTTGACTGACAATCGTCTCCATTATTTCCACCAAAAATTGCAATGAAATGATAAATACCCCATTCCTAATTAAAGATTTCACATTTGAATCTTGAAACTAAAATCATCATTGATAAGAATACGTTTTGTTTCAAAATGAGACATTCTAATGATATAAGTCAAGATAAATCAAATTTCAAAATAAATATCGATCGTCGATAAGAAAAAGGGTTGTATTGTTATTATTGGAGCAACAAACAAACCACTCAGTGTATTCTAGAGGACCAATTAAAAGAGCAAAATCCAGTTGTCAAATCCAACAAGTTTCTATTATTTATTTATAAGACAAATCAAATAGAGTCATGTTCCCATATGCAGGCATCTTAGACCCCACATACATTTTTCTGTAACAAAAAATCAGTGAAGTCCATGGGGGCATTATGGTCATTTCGACCTCACTCATCTTTCTGGCAATTGCTTTCTCCAACTTGTCGGTCGTTTGGCCTATATGTGATTGTGGGATCAATCCCTAAATTGCCCTTCTAAAAATTTAAACTTGTATTTGCCTCTTGAAAATGTATTTACTTTTGTAAAAAAGAAAAAAAAACACTGTAACATGGTTTTTGCTTTCAGTTTTATTTGTCGTTCGATATCTACTTTCGAATTTCAATTAATTTGAATATGTGTTGCCTACGAACCATTTAAGAAGAAAATATTTTCTATCAATATTTTTTTCAATTACAGAGTTCAAAGTCAAAAGTCAAAACCTTGTAGAGAATACGTTTTGGTATTCTCTTTTCCATTTTCCTTACTGATGTAGGGATTAGTAGGTAGTCGAACATCACTCAGATTTCCTTCTTTATATTATTATTATTATTATTATTATTACTTCCTATTATCTTACTCTTAGATTTTAATATTATTCATTTTGTCTTTTGCTTTGGTTATCATATTATTTTTTGTTGCCATTACGATACTGATTTGATATGTTTTACTTATCCTAAGATCTATCGAAAACAACCTTATTAGAAATAAAATTGTATACATTTTATTATTTTCAATCTTCACTTATAAAATTGTACTAAATATGTTATTGTTATTATTGAAGAAACTATTATTCTCAAAATAGGTAAACATAACTTTTTGGACAAACTTCAATGTCTCCTATTAAAGAGAGAGAATTTTTATCTTTATGTATATACTAAGGTTAAAGAAGTATAAACACTAGAAACAATCCAAAAGCAACAAACATGGGGAAAAATCTCATTTCCATTTTTGCCCTTGACAGGACCAAAATTAGTGATCAATGTGCTGTACATCCTTTATTTTATTTTATTTATTTATTCATATTTCTTCTCTAAATGAAAATTCAAACTTATTAAGAAGCTTCACTTCTCAAGCTCCTCTAGTGAAGTTTTCCATTCAATTTTATTTTATTTTTTTGGGAGAAAATGGCTTCTTCTATAGCTCATTTTCTTGTATTTAGTGCAATAATTGTTGTACATTTTTCATCAACACAAGCTGAAGTACAAGGTTCATTTGATGACAATTTTAGTAAAAGTTGTCCAGAAACTCATTTCAAGACTTCTGAAGATGGACAGATCTGGTATTTATCATTGGACAAAAAAGCAGGTAATTATAATTCAAGAATTTAGTTTTTTTTTTTCAATACCATATTCATAAAAAAAGAAGAAGTTACATTTGAATCTTTATGTTCTGACGAAAAATGTTCAACTGACCACCTTTCAATCTATGTGGCATTGATGAGTTTTTTTCTTTATATTGGTGATTGAAATTCAAGAATTCAATGTTTTTCTATATATACCCGTTTCCATTATTTTTTTGATATTTAAATTTTTATGTTCTGACAAAAGGTGTTCAACTGATCGTATTTCGATGATGTGACATTGATGGGTTTTACTTATATTGGTGATTGAAATTCAAGAATTCAATGTTTTTTTTAATATATACCAATTGACATTTGTATCTTTTATTTATGTTTTTTTTTGCAAATATTGATTGATGATTGATATTTTTTTTGTTGTTGTTGATATATAGGATGTGGATTTATGACCAAACAGAAATATAGATTTGGGTGGTTCAGTATGAAGTTGAAATTGGTGGGAGGTGACTCTGCTGGTGTTGTGACAGCTTACTATGTAAGTTGCAATTTTTTTACATATATTAAAAAAAATAGTTCGCTATATAAAATATTTCACGTTCAGGCATAATTTTTAAAATGTGATATGTATAGTCTATTTCAGAGCAGATATTAGTGACTGATTTCAATGCTCGAATTCATGACCTATTAGTCACATAGAATTTACTTTTTTAATTGCTTCAACATCCCCTCAAAAAGAATTTTTACATTACTAGTATATTTCAATTTATTTTAGTAATTACTAAATTGCTTTGTTTTCTACATTACTAATCACATTTCATAAACAACTTTGGACATATCCAAATTAATATGGATATAACCTATATATAACTCATAATGTAAATACTCCCTCCGTTTCAAAAAGAGTGGTCTGGTTTGACTTAGCACGGAGTTTAAGAAATTAAAGAAGACTTTTGAATCTTGTAGTCCTAAATTAAAGTTATGTCAAATGTACAAAATTGCCCTTAATCTTGTGGTCTTAAACATGTCATGTGGAAAGCAAAAAGTAAAATGTTACCAAAAAAGGAAATAGGTCATTTTTTTTAAACTGACTAAAAAGGAAAGGGGGTCATTCTTTGTGAAACGGATGAAGTACTTTTTATAACTTCAATATACTTTTAACCTATGGTAGCCAATAATTTATTTTATTTTCAAAATTACAAATCTCACATTTTATGAACGATTGTTTTACTGAAAGTGTAAAAATCAAGTATATAGAAATTATACTCTTTTAATATTGTGGAAATATATAAGCCTATATTATTTGGCCTTTTTAAAAATATTGTTGAATCCTCCAAAAGTACACTATATTTGGAGGATCCAACACTCATCAGTCCACATTTTTGAAGAGTATATATGAGCAACATATATAGATCTAAGTAATATGTTAAATGGGGATTTTAACTGTTTTTCTACTTTCACAAGGTAGAGGTAAGATCTGTGTACACATCACTCTTTCTAGATTTTACTTGTGAGATTACCTTGAGTATGTTATTGTAGACAGTCTCTCTACCTTCACAAGGTAGGAATAAGATCTGCGTACACACCTTCCTCACCAGATCGTCCTTATGGGATTACACTGAGTATATTATTATTGTTATTGTAGTATGTTTAATATGGATTTTTCAATGAATTGTAGATGTGCACAGAAGATGGAGCAGGACCAACAAGAGATGAATTAGATTTTGAGTTCTTGGGAAATAGGACAGGTGAACCTTATCTTATTCAAACAAATGTGTACAAGAATGGAACTGGTAATCGTGAGATGAGACATGTTTTATGGTTTGACCCCACTGAGGATTTTCACACATACTCAATTCTTTGGAATACTCACCAAATTGTGTAAGTACCTCTTTTCACTATATTAAATTACTCAAAAATTACAATCGTAGTTTCACGTATAACAAGACGTCTTAAGTATGAGCCATGAGAATGAAGAATCTAGATTTGTGGAAAAATTTCAAAAATAACCACTTTTCATACATGTACAGGTTTTTCGTGGATAGGGTACCAATAAGAGTGTACAAAAACGCGAATTACACAAACAATTTCTTCCCAAATGAGAAGCCAATGTACTTGTTTTCAAGTATATGGAATGCAGATGATTGGGCTACAAGAGGTGGTTTAGAGAAAACAAATTGGAAAAATCAACCATTTGTTTCATCATACAAAGATTTTAATGTTGATGGCTGTCAATGGAAAGATCCATATCCATCTTGTGTTTCAACAACAACACAAAATTGGTGGGATCAATATGATTCTTGGCATTTATCAAGTGATCAAAAATTGGATTATTCTTGGGTACAAAGAAATCTTGTCATTTATGATTATTGTCAAGATACTGAAAGATTTCCAAAAAAGCCTGAGGAGTGTTGGTTAAATCCATGGGAATAATAAAATATTTCAACTTAGGTTATAAAAAAATAAAATTATGAGAGGAATTAAGGAGTATTTTGATTATTATTATTTTGATGTTGAGTTACTTGAGTATATATATGCTTGTATGATTTTGTCATGCCTATATTGTATTATTGAATTGATTAATATATTATTGAAGCCTTCATATTTTTGGAATAGAAGTCTGGATATAAATTCGATCTAACTTAATTTATTTTTTTATTGAATATGTGTATTAAATTTATAACACAATTATCAACCTTAAAATTATTATTTTAAAATCCAGAATCAATAAATTTGAAGTTGTGACTCCGCTTTTATGTATGAGATATGGAGTCTTTGATGTCACACTCTTTCTTTTTTCAATTCAAATTTCTCGAGTTGAGTTCAGATCTCTTCATGTTGTTAATCAAAATTTTTGAATTTAAATCTTGAAAATTAAAGAATCTAGTGTACTCCTTTCATGAACTTATTGGGCGTTAATCTGAAATAGTCAAACTATTAAATTTCGAAAATCAAATACCTCCCACTTAAATAAATAAAAGTGAGATATTTAAGCATAAAAGTAAAAATTTCTAAAAAATATTTTATTTCTTCATAGAAATTTTATTTGACATTGTCATTGGCTGGTGGAAGATCTAGTGTTCCAATACTTCACAATCTCCTCTGTACTTCTTCCAGGGATTCTTCCAGCTATAAGAGACCACCTAATAATAAATTAAAAGAAAAAAATGACAAAAAGAAGCACTCATTTCATCAAAATTTATATAATATACTTTTCTTTTTAATTTGTTCTAAAAATAATAATTTATTTTCTTATTTATAATATTCATGTAGACACATCTTATGCTAAAGCATGTGGAGCAAAGTCCTCTTCAAAATATAATATTGAGAATGTTCTCAGAGCTTGAATCGAATCGGTAATGTCCTAATATTTTGAGAATGCTCTCAATAACACAGCTAGAATTGCATTGGTAATATCGTAATTGAGATGTGAGGGAGTATAATTTTGCCGTACATCAAGACAACAACAATATATCTGGTATAATTTCACAAACAGTCCGGAAGGATAATGTCTATACATAGCCTTAACCTTATCTTATCGAAAGTAGAGAGACTGTTTTCAATTGAACTCGGGTAATTGTCGCTTATCAAGAGTACCTCTAAAATTAAACTTGTGTTTTTATGTTTATAATAACATTTCTATAAGACTAAAACTATAAATAAATATATCATTTAAGGGTAAAATAAAAATAAAAATTTAGAAAGCTTTCAAATAAGAAATTTATGAAGAAGTTAGAAACCTCTTGCCAAGCAAATTGTACATCCTGATTATCAAAGCTTCTTCATCTTCACTGAATTCAGTTTCAATTTCTTTCAATATTTTTCCTGAAATTAAACAAACATGCTTAACGATACGAATAGTGAAAATTCATATAACTGATCTCAACTTTCTCGAGGATAAAATTACAAAACAATAAACATAGAAAATAAAATCAAATTAAACCAATGAATTAGAGGTAAATAAATACCTTGAGAATCAGCACGAAAATAATCAGAGGAAGAAATTTTTTCTGAAGAATCTGCCATATAAAAATTTAGAAAAAAAACTAATACTGGTAGAGAATGAGAGTACCATTATTTATAGAGTTATACTCAACTTCAAATAATAATTTAGGCTACGCATCGGAGCAACACCTGAATCCTGCAATGCGTGAATCTGTATTTAATGAAATTAAAAAAATATGGCAGGCTACGTATAGTCCGGTTTAAGACTTATTGTGTTTGTTATTCCTTTTTCCACGTCATGTTAATTAATTAACAATCAAGAGGTAGAGTTAGAATTTGAAGCTTATGAATTTGAAATTCTATTTTTTAAGTTAATGAGTTCTAAATTAATAATTGGTACACTTTCAAGTGATTTCTTAAAACAAACATAAGGTTTGAACTAAAATTATTAGGTTCGATCGAACTTGCATACTGTAGTTTCGCCCCTGATTTACCATCAGCTTCCACAATGTTGTTGGATGACTTAAAATCAGAGGCGAATCTAGAATTTAAAATTTATGAATTCGGAATTCTAGTTCGTTACAATTTAGATCAAAGCTACTGAATTTAGCCGAACCCGTAAGCTAGAACTCCAACCCTATACTTAAAATAATTAAGTAAAACAGCACATTTATTTAGGAGAGGAAGGCGCTGACTGTTGAATGGTAGGTGATGAAAGAGATTAAGGGGTTGTTAGGTTCCTTTATTTGGAAAGTAAAAATTTAATTTGAAATTCGATAGATAATAGATCTAATGTTCTACTTTTTTTATTATTTAAATATACTTTATTTATAACATGATTTAAATTCGTGATGTGCGTCTACGAGGCATGCACCCACGTTGTACTATCTTCATCCTTTACAAAAATATATCTAGCTTTACGATCTCCACATGTTGTGACAAATACATCAATATTTTGATCAATCAAACATTGAAAAATTAGAAAATATTTTCCTCCCCATCAAACACACCCTAGTTTACATCACAAGTTTCAAAAGTCGTCTTCCTTCATTTTCTTCTTTGCTTGCTCGCCATTCCAACAAAATTTAGGTGTGTAACCAGTGATACGAGACAAATAGAGTGGCACTATACGAATGTTAATACGTTTCAAAAAGAATGTCCCTTTTTTTTTGGCAATTTCCTCATTTCAATTTTCCACATCTTTTAAGACCATAAAATTAAAAGAACATATTGGTACATTCTACATATCTTTAGTTTAAGACCACAAGATTCAAACATCTTTTTTACTCTCTTAAACTCTATACCTTATGTTGCTCGAGTGCGCGTCGGATTCTCCAACAATGGTGCATTTTTGCAGAATCCGACACGACTGCAGCATCGAAGGTGAAGAGTTCACACTCCACACAACCAACCAAATAAATTGAAACGGACGAAGTAGTTAATACATTAAGCACCAACAAGAAGCTCATGAAATAAGCAAATGAATATTGATGGTATAAGTAAACTATATACAAAATGACAAATATTATAATGTTCATCCAAAATAGAATATAATGATCTTGTAAACTTTTGGGCAGATTCTTCATCTCCATTGGGGATTCACCATACAACTTTTGATAAATACTGATCATCAACAAGCTACTAATATACCAAGATTCTGCTATGTATATATTGAAGAAAAAGTGTGTTAAAACTCAGAAAAAAACGTTGCTCGTAGCGCTCTTGATGTAATGTAAACAAACTTGAAAGTTGCAATCACAAAATGTGTAACAATCCCCTTTCTTTGATTGTGTTTAGAAACCATGAATCTTGATGTTATCCTTCTTCACAATGCCAGCCTAAAAATCACAAAAAATACGAGAAATCAACGTACATTTTTTAGATTATGTATATTAGATGTCGAGGAACGGATAGAGGATGTGAATTAAACCTGTATGAGAAAGGTTGACACATTCTTCCGCTGATCGCCCTGAAGTTGGATAACCTGTGTGAAATGAAAACAATCAGTAGAGAACAAACAAGCTAGAAGGCGTTCATCCAGAGGCGCGTGTATATGTGTTAAGAAATTGATTTTGACCCTAGTAAATCAAATAAGTTGTGGTAGAATCCTGAACTTGTACTCATAAAGTTCAAATCCTGGATTCGCCTCTGAGTTTATCATTGCCTCCTTGTCCTCGAGGCTCTCTGGTCAAGAAGAGGTATGCTATTGTAACATTTTCCACCCTGGTTGTATGTGAAAAAGAGTGAAGAACTCGTTTATATTTGGTCATAGGTTGGTGCAAAGAACGAGAGTTGCCTTATACTAAACTTCTTTGTTCCTCAGTAGCTCAGAGACAAAGAATAGCATCAATTATGTGAAAAAAGAGTGACGAGCTCATTTTCATTTGATCATAGGTTGGTACAAAGAACGAGAGTCGTCTACCATAAGTCCTTTGTTCCAACGAGGATAAAGATAGAATAGAATCAGTTATTCACCTGTCCGAGTTCTGGATCTTGCACAACGGTACCATTGCAGCAGAACTCCTTCTTGAGGTCCTTGAGAATCTTGTTGTAGCTGAATTCTTTCTTTAGGCCTTGAACGGTAGTCAGACTTTTCCTTCCATTTCTCTGCTGAACGCGGATATGCACATACTCCTTCGCACCAGCGCCTGAGTTCTGAGCATTTGCATCAGCAAACGGATCTGTCCACATGATACAAGCCATGTTATTCCAATCAGTAATTACTCGAAAACAGAGAAATAAACGATTTTCGTCTGAGAAATGGAGAAAGGGAAGATTGTATAGACTAGCACAACTAAATTGCATCAGCAAACACATTACTCCCTTTGTTTGTCCTTACTTTCCTTTATAGCCTATTTCAAAACGAACAACTCTTTCCTTTTCTAGCAACTCTTTAATTTCAACTTCTCCATATTGACATGTTTAAGACAACAAAATTAAACTTCTTTTAACTCTGTATCAAGTCAAAACCCGACAAATAAATTGAAACAGAGGGAATACATGCAACATTGCTTCAGGAGCAATGACCAACTACGTACTCTTCTCTATGAAGCGGAAAAGAGAAATTGATAAACGAAGAATAGATACAACGTACCAAAGGTGGTAGGGACTTGGATATCGAGCTCAGACATGAACCTAGCTTTCAGAAGTACGACGAACAAACCTTGAATGCAAAATTCCAGCTGAAACGAAAACAAAAGAATGTAATTCACTTGCAAACTCATGGATATACATACAAACAGAATAACAGACTAATATTAACGCGAAAAAAAGACAGAAAAGGTTCAGTTATTTGATGATTGTCCGTTTAGTTCATCGATTTCATTGCTCATTACAATTCTGATTAAACACATTTAACCTTAAGGAACAAAAGCATGCAATTCGACAACAAGAGTTCTCATATTCTAGTCTTGGAAAAGAAAAAAAATCATGCTGGAAGCGCTCCCATAAATGGACCCCGCAATGTCCAAATATGCTTTAGTCAAATTGCAATGCAAGTATCAAACATCGAGAGTGGAAAATTAAAATAAAAAATGTACACAATAACCAATATAGCAATTCAGGGTTTGCATGAACCAAAAAAAAATGATCACAAATAAAAGAACTAAACAAAATTTGTTGATAATACTCTAAAGTCTGAATAACAAGAATTACATTAAAGAACAGTTTTTTTTCTCTCTTTTTTTTTTTATTTTTTTAATTCTCATTCGATGTCCAGTATCCATTGCAGATTGACTAATCCGATTTCGTGGCGCATAGGGTACATAACATTAAAGAACAGCTGGAAAAAAAAACACAATCTTGATTGAAAAATTAAACAACATTTTTTTTGTGGTTCTCATTGTGTCTGATACCTACATTGTACCCGAACTAATCTGAATTAGCGCCGCATAGGACCCATACCATTAAAGAATAGATGAAAAAAAAAAAGAAGGAAAAAACACAATTGAAAAATTAAAGAGCATTTTTTTTTTTCGTATAACGACTAATCTGAATTCGCGTTGCATATATAGCCTCATAACATTAAAGAAAAAACACAATCTTGATTTTAAAAAGTTGGAAATGGAGAAAAATTTACCTAACCAAAACAAGAAACAGAGATAGGGGTGGGTGGTGAAGAGATGAAACTGGAAATCTTGAGAATTTTAATTATTATTTTTTGTAAATTGTATGAAAATGTAAGGAAAAAAAATGAAATGTGAGCGTATAAATAGAGAGAATGTTTATATAGAAAAAAAAACAATTTTTCAACTTTTGTATTGATCCACACATTTGGACTTTTGTTGGAATTTCAGGTGCCAAAATTATCTTTCAGTTATTACCAGATATTGATGTTTATTAGGACCCGAACATGGTGGCCAACCTAAAATTTAATTACCGTATAATTTAGATTCACATCGCGTAAGAATCGTTTTTGAGAAAAATAGTGTCACCACATAAGTATCGTCGGATTAATAAAATTTACCTTAGTCACAAGTTATACCAGGCAGTGGTATAAATATGACATAATACATAAATATGTCCATTGATTTGTAATACAAATAAGTTGCCATGTAGGATGAGTATATCTCACGTGAATCGTCATGTAGGATACATATGTTTGCATGTTCAATTGTATACAAATTTAAATATCTACTTATGCACACCCAAAGCTGGAAGACATAAATGTCAACTGACGTCAAGTTAAAGGGCACGTTTATGTATTATATCTTAATTGTGTCCTACCTACCCTCCGACATGCTTCATCTTCACCTCCAACCTTCGTAAAAACATCCCCCATGCCACAACCCCACCTCCCATAATATTATTCTGAGTAAGATATAAATATTTGTAGGATAGTGTTTTTTTTACCTATGTACCTCACATGTAAAAAATCCACTCATTTTCCTAAAAAATATTTTCCTTCATACCGAACACTATATGGAAAATCAGCTGATAAATGACATCAACATTCTAGAGATACATTGCTAAGAAAATATACAGAAGCAAGGATAAATGTAGTGCCAACTGTCAATTTTGCCGAATGAGTTCTCTCAAATGAGAGTTCTTCCATTAAATAGAAAGAATTCTGATTTACATGCCTAAAAATCTGCTATATATCCCTAAATATATGTTATTCCTAATTGTAATATCTCTGAAAATATGCTACATTAATCTATGCTATCTCCTATCATCATTACACAAATATTTAGAGTTATAACATAGATATGTACATATATTTAGAAT